CGCTCGGAACATATGCAGTGTGTACGAGGAAGGTGTCTCAGGTGTGTCTCTGGGTGGCCCCAGGAAAGACACCGAAGCCGAGAGTCAAGCAAGACCTTCACTCGAAATAGGTCATGATTTGCGTTTGATGAGACTGGAAAGGCACGGTGCACCGGGAAATGCTCGAACGAAATTCTACTGTCAACAAGGAGGTCTACATTGCCCAGCTAGACCGTGTTAGTGTGGCTATTCGGCTGAAAAGACCCGATAGACAAGGTGAAGTCATCTTGCTCCACGACAACGCCAAGCCCCACAATGTCCAAGTCGTCAAAACAGCACTCTAAAAGCTTGAATGAGAGATTCTTCAGCATCCACCGTACTCTCCGGATCTTGCACCTTCCGACTACCACCTTTCCGCTCTCTGTCAAACCAAATGAGGAGTGATACCTTCGATGGCGGAGAGGTTCTTGGAAACTGGCTCAACAACTTCTTCGACACCAGACCGGCCGATTTTTGGCGAAACGGCATCAACAAATTGGTCGAGAGATTTGAGGAGGTCGCAAACAGTAACAGGAGGATACATCATTGATTAATTTATTATTATAATTATTGTTTTTTGTTAAAATAAATCTCTGTGAAAAAACTCTACGAACTTATGTTACAACCCAATAGAACGTTTCCAAGCAAAGTTGCATTCATTTTTGAAAAGCGGCTTTCGTCTCAACGCACGCCCCGCCTACCGTGGGCGGGGCTTCGCTTCGTTTACGCATGCCCAGCGCGCATAAGGCCCTGCTCACTCTTTTTACTTCTTTCCTGGCCTCTGCGCCTTAAATGAGTCGAGTTATGAATTCATCTGAAAAATACCGTCCATCTTGAGAAAGCTCCGCCCACAGCAAGTGGGTCTCCTCCGTCTGATTTTTTGACTCATTCCTCACCTTTGAACTTTTAAAAGCCGGTGTCTGGGCTTCTTCGAAGCAAAAATAAGATGTTTAACTGTTGGCACCACCCATTTCGGCGATTGCCCCGCCCCCCCCCGTGGCGGCGCTCTGCAGAGCTCATATGTGCTCTATTAATTTTGTCTTGGACCGTTTATTGTGTTGTATTGTTTCATCGTTTATTGTAGCAAAGCCTTCTTCTCCTATAACGGGCGAGATGCTATGTTCGAAAGTTGTGTTATCGCATTTGTTAGAGGAATTTGACTCCTGTGACGAAATGCACACATCATCTAGGGCAGAAAAAAGGCGTTACAGAGCTTTTCGTCTGTACTACGGGTGCCCTATTCGAGAACCTAGTTATCAACGGCAAGGAGGACGATTGCGTAGAAGACGATCACAGTGATCCTCTCCGGTCAGCAGATGATTGCAACGACGACCAACGACCCAGGACATCCAGAGAGGGAGCCACGTATCTTTTTTGTAGATATCGAAGTTTCAAAGGAAAGGACAGCCCTTAACGCGATATATTCACCCATGATTTTATGGTGCAGATAAAAAAAGCCATGGCCTTCTATCGCTTGTAAGCTTTCCGATTATTGTGTTTTTGTCCATTTACTATGACCTATGTGGCTGTAACTGTTAGGTGCAAAGCGAGAAGATCGATCCATCACGCTTCCGAGATTAGCTGAGGAGTTGAAAGAGGAAGTTGTGGCAGAAATGATTTCGGAGACCTCTTTCCAGATTTCTTGATTAGGGCGAATACGTCCCTTATGAGCAAGGAGCTTCCGCTGGACTTGCTCACGTCGTACGTTGTATCCACGGATTTGCCCTCGTCTTTTCTGATTGTCGATTAATGGGGCTCATTCAAGGACCATTTCGCAACTCAGTGTTTATCAGCTGACAAGGCGGGGCTCAGCATTACGCCTGGCGCAACATCCTGAATTCAACCTATCAATGTACAGGATGTCCCAGAATTATGAGCGCCAATGACAATGTATTAAGCTTCTGAGCTAAGAATGACAATGGAATCTATCATTATATATTTATACATACATATACACATATTTGTATATATGTATGTATAAATATATAATGATAGATTCCATTGTCATTCTCAGCTCAGAAGCATACATGATGTGCTACAGCATGCTGTATTCTCATTCCAAAATATCCCCCATGAGCGCAGATAGAGGTTCAAAGTTTGCGCTCGAATCATCGCATGTTGCACGCAAGTATTCTTCTCCATTTCGTCAAAGCCATTTTCGAGTTTTGCTTTCTAGGTTTCCAAACTGGGACCGCAAACCCAACAGGTAGTTTTCTAGCCAGGGACCATACGGGGAGTCAAGTGAGTTAAGATATGGAAAGCAGGATGGCCAACGAAGTCGGGCAGCTAGCAGCGGCACCACTCCCGGGCGAGCTTGGCTCTGTGAGCTGGGGTACTTCTCTGCCGGCAAGACTACGAGCTGTTTCAGCAAGCGAAGTCGGATTAGCGCTACATTACATCATTATGCCCTCCGAGTGCAGATCTTTGCAAACTTTACACCGGCACAGACGTAACCACCAGCGTCTTACACTTGCCAGTAACCCCTTCGGGAAACATCATTTTGCTGTTCTTATAGCAACTTTTTCACGAGAGATTGTACGTTTGATGTTTACCACCAGAATCATCAACAAACCAAATCGCTCGACTGGTCGCTCGACTTTTCGCTCGACTGGTCGCTCGACTTTTCGCTCGACTGGTCGCTCGACTTTTCGCTCAACTGGTCGCTCGACTTTTCGCTCGACTGGTCGCTCGAATGGTCGCTCGACTTTTCGCTCGACTGGCCGCTCGACTGGTCGCTCGACTGGTCGCTCGACTGGCCGGCCGCAAACTCTGGCCTTTCTACCCCTTCCTTGTTCGTATTTCATATAATCTTCCTCTGTGTATCATTTAATAGCCTTCGTACGGATGCTTTAGGGATTACAAGAAATTTCATAATGCCCTTCTGTCACTCTCATGCCAATGATTGTAAGCGTCATTGAACGAGCCTCGGCCGTCTCAAAAATATCGGGAAGCTCACTTCATTAATCATGTCATTTCAAGAAAACTATTTGTGCGACTAATTAATAGTGGGTGAGTGAATTTCACTTACTTCCACTTTGGAAGTTTCTGAACCTTGGCCCCCATGATTTTGCCCCACCCTTTGCCATTGAAACCTCGTGCCATTTGAAGCCATTCTCAGCGTATCGTATCCTAGGTCAGCGCTCATGATTTTAGTCTCCATGTTAGCAACCGCGACTCCATAATTCGCCTTATCTCATTAGTGTACTTCTTGTTAAGCGCATCTAGATTTGAAAATCGGCGCAGCAAGGCGCTTGGATACGGATCCGGGAGAATTGAAACTCCTGTGTGAAGAGTTCGAAACAATATCGTTCCCCAGATCAGAACGGAAACTATTAAGATGACGGGTACGGTAAAATTCTTTTCTTACGTTGCTCCCATTGTGAGAAACTTTTCTGCTTTGAACACTTTGTATTGGACAGTAATCACTTGTGTCACCTGTCGTCCCATTGATCATCGATTTTCTCGAGCGAGCGCCAGCGTGATGTCTCCATTCGTCCCTGTAGCGAGTCAGTGTGGTCCACTGAATCGTGCTCGCTTCAGGGACACCAAACTCAACATATCCTCCTTCCAGAACACTCGTGAAGAAGCCCGACAGTCGCATTGGCGGGCGTGCTGTTCACTCGAGGTCCCGAAGGATCCAGTAATCAACGCTCTGGTCTAACGTTCATCGCCATATCGCATAATATGTTCGGATGTTCCTTGTCTTCTTCTCTACTTACTCCCTCGATATTCTCAAATGTTTCCTATGCGGCGCGTTTCCTTCTGCTAAGCTCCGAGGCTGAGTCGTTCATCATGTTGGCTTCCGGACCTTGATACACGTAGCTGGAACATTCAGAGATATTTGTTTCGCATAGCGTCAAAGGAGCATCAGGTAGCAGAATGTTCCTCGTGTACATCGTCTTCGTTAAGTTCAGTCTCAAGCCGATTTTTCCACAACGTCATCCCGTCTGCTCGATGTTCGGTGTTATAAGCACGATGTCGTCTGCAAAGCGGATATGATCAAAAAACAACCGTCGAGCTTCACTGTCAGTTCTTCCCATTCCAGATAACGTATAATGTTCTCGAGAGGGCCACTGAAAAGTTTGGGTGGAATGGTAATGCTCTGCCGGACCCCTCTCTTCACATTGGTAATCACATTGGTAATGGCTTCCGTGTAGGATGGCGAAATCCTGGTCGTAGTAGAGCTACGTAGCATCCTTATTATTCCCCTGGTTGCAAGGGGCTTCAAAACCGCTTCTATCTCTACAGTATCGAAGGCCTTCAAATCGATGAACGTAAGCAATAACGGCATTTTGTGCTCTAGCAATACTTCAGTGGGTCTCATAAGATAGTGGATATGATCGGTTGTACTGAATCCTCTCCGAAACCCTGCCTTATCGCTACGCTGTCCTTCATCTAATATTTTACCGATCCTATTCAGGATGAAGCGTGAGCACTTTAGGCTCTAAACGTTTAGTCTAAGATTGTGAGTAGTCAGGTAGACGTGTCGGTCGGAAAGATCAGAGTAAAAGTACTAGATGACCTTCTCCACTGCCCTTCGATAAGCAAGAAATGTTCAATCAGGACGACGAAGGAAATCATGTTGGTCTCATAATTTAGGAAGCCGGGCGCCGTACAATTCTCCACTCCATCGAAGTGATGGCATGTCGAATTTCGGAAAAGAGAACTGAATGAACTACGTATCCGTCTCGCCTAAGATGGTAGGTGGGCAGCTAGACGTGGCTATCGTGATCAAAGTAGAAGTCGTAGATGACCTTCTCCATTGCCCTTCGGGATGCAGTATCAGTTCCGTCAGGACGATGAATGGAAGTCATCTCGGTCTTATAATTGACAAAGCTCTGGCGGGCTTTGCGAATGCTTTTTACAGCCCAGGCGGCTTCGGCCAGCACTGTCGTGAAGGCGTTCGACAAGGCGGTTGTATTCTTCATCGATGATGTCGATAGGGAATGTTCCCATTTATTCGCAAGGGGAACGAAGTGGTTTCAGTCTATGAAGGTCTTAGGCCTTCGTTTCTCAAACTTCACAGTCCTCTCCCTTAACGCACTGAGAAGCAGAATCTAGCGCGGAGAAGACGACGGTCTGATCCCGTGTAGAATTTCGAAACAACAGCGACGTCAGTTACTCCAATTGAAAGTGACGTGGTCTATTCTATTATGGGACTGTCTACTAGGTGACTCATGTCCATCGCGAATAAGATGGCTTCTATAACTGCGAGCTACCATGGAGTGTGGGTCGCCATGATAAACTCGAACAGTCTCTCACCCTGTTCGTTCCATTCCATTCCGTGGCTCTCGATGGTCTCTTCTGCCGTTCTTCTGATGTGAATCTTTTCGTTGAAATCACCGACGATGACCTTAAGAAAACATGGTCTTTTCTGTAGCCTCTAGGTTCATACATGTATAACGCTTCCAACTCATCTTCTCTGTAGCTTGATGTTGGTGCGTAGGCAGTTCTTCTTTAACAGCGTGCAGCGTCTCAATCAGTCCGCTTCCGATTGCGCTCGCTCGCCTTACTCTTCCGATGCAGGCGTTTATGTGCTGAGAGTACAGATCGCCATCTTAGTCCTTTCCCTTCTGAGCAGCCTGTTTTGGCCATGAGATTTCAAGCAGTCTTTCTCTATGGTCATACCCAACGCTCACGTTTTAAGGGTCCCCTCGTTTTCGTGGAAATGAGGTCCGTTTGTATTACGGGGTGCGGCAAAAGTTCTGGCAATGGTAAATATGATCGTAAAACGGTCAAATCGATCGATACATGATACTACGCCAACGGCATTTATCAACAGCTATATAGACCACAAAGCTACCTAGATCTCGAAATGTCCTTCTTTTGCGCGAATACAGGCTGAAATTCTCCTAAGAGATACGTCGACGGCGGCACAGAGGTGGTCTTCGTCCGAATCCTCCCATGCTCCAACGGGGATTGCATGTGGAACATCCCAACTTCTATGTTCAGTAGAGCAGGCTTTCGTCTTAAGAACTGACCACACGGAATGGTCCGATGGATTTGGAGCTGGACTGTTTGGGGGCCAATCGTCCGACGAGATGAGGTCTGGGAAGTGCGCTGCGCACCAGTCCTGTACCACCTTGGACTTGTGTGCTGGAGTTGAGTTCTGCTGAGAAGTCCATGTCCTATTGTCGAAAGGGATTTTGCTCAGGGGAGTACCTTTCCTCCGAAACGCCTTTTAAGTAGGTCTTGCTATCCACCCTGACTCCTTTCTCCAATCGGGGGCATCTTGCCATCTGATGTGATTGTCCCAAAAACCATCAAGACTTGTGGTGGACAGGTCGCTGAGCAATCCCTCCATGTCGGCTGGCTTCTGCAAGGCTTCCCGCTATCACCCATCGTTTTGGGTGTTCAGGAACTGATCTGTTGAAAACAGACATTCGTCAGTGAAAAGGATGGTGCTGGGCCTTGCCTGCGAAAATCGCTTTAAAATCTCCTTAGATCTTTCTAGCCTAGTTTTCTTCACACGCTCAGTCAGCATGTGTGCTTTTCTGATCTTATAAGAGCAAGGTCGAAGGTGGCTGGTGACAATCTTTTCAACAGATCGAACAGAAATGCCAGCCTCGAAAACCATTTTTTCTCGGACTCACAAGGGTGGCGGCGGGTTTTCGATCAAATGACTTTCACGATCTCCTTTGTTGTTGCACTCTTCAGTCTTCAACTTTTGGGCTTGTCCTCCATAGTTCCTCTCGTCTTGTACCTGTTGACATTGTTGTACACGGTTCTTAACGAAATCTGAAGCTGTTTGAAGATGGTCTTTGCCGTGCAGCCAGCCAGATGGAGGTGCAGGATGGAGGCTTGTTGGACTTTGCTCGTCACCATTCTGTAAAATGGAATATTCAAAAACGGCTCGTTTATGGAAAGTATAGAAGAGGATTTGCAGTAAATAGTGGCACAGATCCTGACGAGATCCATGACCTCATTTTTCAATGGAGAACCTGAAACGGCTTTTGCCAGAACTTTTGCCGCACCCTGTACTATTTTTGCCATATGTGCACCCACGAATAGCTTTTCAGGCTCAGCAGCGGTGGCCTTGTTGACTCCGTGTGCTAGCCAGGCTATCTAAAAGTGGATGAGTGGATTCGAATGCAAGCTTCCTGCTGAGTCGATGGGCAGGATACCAACTGCACCCGCAGGCTCACCACACGTATGCGTGGATACACCCGCAAGAAACAGATTGCTTATCGACCAGCACAGCAGAAACAGGGAGTTCATCGCCTGAGCCAACCTGCGTGTTCGGGCAAGTACAGTCGACTTTTGGTCGGCGAACTACTACCCTTTGCTTGACGCCCTACGTAGCCTCGCCGCTCACCGGCTGGGACCCTTCAGTGAGAGAGAACCCTCAGGGAACGGAAACAGTGTTGACTACCATATGTGCACATGCACTGCTCTTCTCTTTTTTTTCTTTGTCAAACGGGACGGAGGCGTACCAATGAGGGCTTTATTTCTCTACGGAGCATTTCGATCAGTTGAGTCATACGATCTCCTCTGTCAAAAGTGTGTAGAGCTGCCAAAAATTTTGCAACCCTATTTAGAGTGTTTGGGATAGGACTGCACCTACACTCGACAGGTAGGGGTGAAGAAAAACTCGCATTGTATCCATTTTCATCAGTCCTCACATGTTAGGGAAGCTCGTAGTTAGTGAATCTGAAGCGTATGCAAACGTTTGGCACGCTTTTCAAAATGTGACACGATCATTTTCATCAGGAATCCAAACCTCCATGACCATGAGGAGAGTTCTTAAGGTACCAAGTGCGCCATCGCTGCACGATTGCTTACCTTCTCAGTTCGATTATATAGGCAACACGGTGGTATAACTTGTCGGTGGAACTGGTCCCGCAACTCAGTTTCCAGAATCGTTCAGCAGATTTGGAAGGTGGATTTCAGACTATCACTTGGCAACACTTACGGCGGAATACATCCTATCTTGAATGGTCACCGCGACCCAATATCCTTCTCTTCTTACAAGGGAAGAATACTTGGTCGCAGTGGCCATTCAAGACGAGATGTATACCCCGTAGGTGGTTTCGAACGCTGATCTAAAATTTGTCTTCCAAATCTGCTAAACGATTCTGGGAACAAAGTTACGAGACCGATGCCTCCCTGTGTTATACCACTCTAATGAACGGATCACCGAGCCGAGCAAACCCTGTCCCTGTGTAACGGTGGCCGAGCGGGTAGTGTGGTAGACTGGTAGACATGGCATCAAGGCTCGATTTCTTAATGCATGCTCTCGTTTTGCTTTTCCATGAAATGTGTCCTAAACGCTTGCAAAACGTTTTAGGCTCAACATTGGGCATCTACGGAGCTCTCTCCAATTACGGAACACTGAAAAGGATTGTAAGGGAGGTTTCTTTTGCCCCTACCGGCCGAATAAGGGTGGAGTTACATTCGAACAAAATAGGAATTTTGAACATTTGCACAAAATGGGCTCAAGAAGCTTCAAGGAGGAAGGTTCCAAATTCCAAAAATCCAAACAAAACCAAATTCATCGCGTCAAAAGCTATTCTATATGTTAACAGCAAATCTTTTGATCGATGCTGGGATCATCACACTTGATGGAGGACTTTCGTTCTTGCAGCATAACGTGGGCACCATGTAAGAAGAGGCAATAATGAAGAGCTTTTGAACCGTACTTCTCGATGCTGTGAGAACAAGCCCGTTATCCTTTGTGTGGAAGTCGAGTCCGTGAAAGGCGATCACAACGATCCTCTGCGATCGCCTGATGATGACAGCGACGATGGACCAGTACTTTCGGAAGGATATAGAGGTTCCGAAGTGAAACGTAGCTTTCAATTTTGTCATGAGCTCCGATTTTATGGCGTTGGTAGATGAGATGAGGTCTCCTATAGTTGGAGTTGGTTGGTGGGTCGCAACTGTTAGGTGCAAGACAAGCGGACCGATCTGCTCACCTATGGGGAATAGCGGATATTTATATAGGCGTCCCTTTACACAGCAATCATTTCCACCGGATACCGCTCAAAATCAACAATGGAGGACCATTGGAGACAACTTCAAAGGAAGCCGTTGGTGGATTCAGGGTTTTGTGCACAGCATTATTTTATCATGCCTCACCGCACCACCACATTTACCTTATGAGAAGGTCTCTTGAAAGAGCGTTTACAAGGATAGAGTTAGCGGATAATCATATGTGCACATAAAGCAATAAATTATTGTTCCACAGTATTTCCCCAACAATGCCACTTAACTTTTACCTCCGCTTCGAAAGCGCGGACAGTATTCGTAGAACGTGAGAACCGTATCCCTCCACAGAGGGCTGTGCTCGGATGACTCATTCAACCGCCATCTACCGTAAGTGGTGCAGGGAGCTGCCGAAGATTTCGAAACACCATCTTGAGTGTTCGGGGTAGGGAAGCGTACATGTATATACATATATACGGTCGGTAGTGGTAAAATTTTTCATCGAATTACTGTTCCCCGGAATCCTAGGTTGTGCGGGAGTCTCGTAGATGCCCAATATTGAGCTCAAAAACGTTTTGCAAGTGTTCAGGACCCATTTTTTGGAAAAGCAAAACGAGCATCATCAAGGAATCGAACCTTGTTGCCATACCTAACAGTCCACTACACTACCCGCTCGGCCACCGTTGACAGGTACGGTCTTTGCTTGGCTCGGTGATCCGTTCGTTAGTGTGGTATAACACAGGGAGGCATCGGTCCCGTAACTTTGTTCCCAGGATCGTTTAGCAGATTTGAAACACAGACTCGAGATCAGCGTTCGAAACCACCTACGGGAGTATACATCTCATCTTGAATGGCCACTGCGACCAAGTATCCTTTCCTTGTTAGTGCAACGCGACTTCTTTGCGACTCGTTCTATTTAGAAACTCTCGATTGTTTCATCAAGATCTAATAATCAAAAATCCAAGCTATGATTCAGATTCCTTGGAAGCGCTCCAGACTACATCACATCCTTGTAATCTCGTCAGTTCAATAGCGTGGCCTACTTTCGAAGAAGATCAGCTTTGGACATCGTTTGAACAGGTTCAACCGGTATAAACTGTGATCGTTTGAGAGTAACATATCGCGATCATTCACTCTTTCATCACCAACCACTATTCTTTCAAAAATGAACCATCTTTGTTGCGTTTGTGCCGCAAATCGCGCACACCAACTCGCGGCGTCAAGGGTATCTGCTTCGGAGCATGTGGCACCTGAACGTATGGTTTTTTTCATGCGGTGGTCTTCGAAGCAACATCTCGACCGATTACATGACGGTCCGTTCTGGTCAATATCATAAAAATCACTTGCTATGTTGGAAAGTGGCGAACCAGTTTTTCACATGTATCCTGTGATGAGACATTATCAGCTTATGTTCTGCATATATTAGGAAAACCCAACAACTCTTGTGCCACGATAGAAGTAAAAAAAGGAGAAATGAGACGTATATGCTTATATGCTCGTGACACTGCTCAACTGATCCCGAAATTGCAAATTCTTCATCAGTTTGTTATAGGGCTTAACGTTCAGACAGTTAATATAATTACCGATTTTAATATCACTGTCTACCAGAGCGGCTGTCGAAGGCTATATAAACTTTCCCTCGAGTGAGGTTGATAACTTTCTACCCGTGGTTTATCAATAAACCAGTTAGGTCTACTTCTCCACAACATGTTTGGCGATCAGGATGGGAATCGAACTCACGCGGAGAAACCCTAATCGGGACTGATCGGAAATACTCATGCACTGGTCACAGACAATGACACTCATTTCACATCCGCAAATTTCTTTGAATTCTGCCTAAGCGTAGAATAAGACACACTCGCTCTCCTCCTTTTCATACGCAAAGCAACGGACAAGTCGGGCGCTTTGTGGATACTTTCAAAAGAGGGCTCGCTAAATTGAAGAGAGAGGGCCCATAAGGCGAAGCTCTACAAGACTCTCTCATAGCTTATCGCGCGACTCCTTGCTCATCCGTATCCGAACATTCGTCACCAGCCGAATGCTTTCTGATACGGAAACTTCGCATTGATCTGGACTTGATGTTATCTCAGACAACCGACGAGATGGGTGCCCCGCCATGATGCCAATATGGAAAACCAATTTAATCGACACAATGGATCACGACGACGTCACTTCAAGGTTGGTGATGCTGTTTACGCAA